CATCCTTGCTCCCATCCCTCCTCACATCCCTGCTCCCATCCCTGCTCCCATCCCCACACCTATCCCCGCTCAAATCCCTGCTCCCATCCCTGCACCCATCCCTGCTCCCATCCCCTCTCCCATCCCCTCTCCCATCCCTGCTCATCCTTGCTCCCATCCCCACTCCCATCCCCTCTCCCATCCCCTTTCCCATCCCTGCTCATCCTTGCTCCCATGCCCTCTCCCATCCCTGTTCATCCCTGCTCCCATCCCTACTGCCATCCCCACTCCCATCCCCTCTCCCATCCCTGCTCATCCCTTCTCCCATCCCTGCTCCTATTCCCTCTCCCATCCCTGCCCCTCAGACCACCCTTGCCACCCCCACCATCCCCTCCATCCCAAGCCTGTCCCGACGCTGGGAGATGCTCCGGCGCCGCCCAGACCCTCCGCTCTCCCCAGGCTCTGCCCCACAGCCCGGCTGCATTGCCCACCCGAAGGATCTGACCCTTGGAGGCTTGGCCGGGATGGGAGCCACGCAGCTCCTGGGTACTCACCGCAACGGGAAAGAAAGCTCCAGCTGCTCGATGACCTGCAAGACAAAGGAAGGGACCAGGCTTAGCTGGCTGGGGACACGCCACACCGGGCGGGGGATGCTTGGGAGGACAAGCCATGGCTCTTACCGACTTCTGCGCATCAAACATCAAGTTTTTGTAGAACTGGATGAAGTGGGAGAAAGTCATCTCGTTCCTGGCTTCCACCTCCTGCCAGAGAGGGTGTTGCATGAGAGCAGGGCCACCCAACCGGAGCCAGCAACACCAAGGCTGGCTCCAGCCTGGCTGCGGGGGCTCGAAGACCCTCTCTCTGCATAGCTGGGGTGCCCGGGGGGGCCTTACCACGAGCTTGTCCCGCAGGAACCTCATGTTGGGGACGCGGTAGTTCACCTGGGGCAGCATGGCTTTCAGGTCCTTCACTGTGATGCTGTGGGAGGGTGAGCCAGCGTCAGGGACAACCCCCAGCTGGGTCTCAGCTCCTGACACCGAGTGTCCCACCCCAAATCCTGGTGCCAGTGTGGTCTCTGGGATGGGGCTCCCACCCTACTGGGCTGTGGATCCCCGCAGTGGCACAAGACCCCTAATTACACAGGGTCTGGCACGAGCGTGAGCAGAGGGTTGAAGAGAAGCACGTCCAAGAACCAAGAACGCTCTAAGCCATCATTCCATCTGGAGGTGATGGCCATCCCCATCCCCATAATCATTTAAGTCCAAATTCACTTGATTTGGGGTTTTTCCTGACCTGGGGAGATGTTTATGGGCTGCATTAACGGTCCAGTCCCTCCTGGCACTGGCAGAAATGCAGCAGCGGGCATAGGGGCATTGGGGTCCCTGTGGTCCCTACAGAAGCAAGGAGGGGACTTGGGCTTGAGTCTCTGATTTTTGGTGCCTTCAAGAACCCAAATAACCTGGTACTACCTTGCCCCACAAACCCCGCTCCCAGCCTCGCTCAGCCTCCAGATTTGGGGTGCAGCTGAGGGGATATGGCCCTGTCCAGCCAAACCCACCAGCCACTTCCCGGCATGGGGTCGTGCCGGTGCTCACCTGCCTTCCCGCGACCGGTCCATTCCATCAAACTGTTTCCGCAGCCACCTGGGAAGGAAGGGATGGAAAGACGGTGCTCAGCCCTGGGGGAGACTAAACCCAGGGAGGTTTCGTCCCCCAGACCCCTAGACGGGGTCTGGCAAATGGGACCCGCTGGTCCTTCCTCACCTCTCAATCTGCAGCGGGGTCTGGGCTTTCTGGGTATCCACCACCAGCCAGTTGAGGCCTGTTATCCACAGGTTGATGTCCTCCTCGCAGAAAGCTGGAGGAGGAAGAGGAGATTGGTGAGGCCAGGAAATGGGATGCTGGGGAGGGGCTGAGAGCCCAAGGGTGGCCAGGGGGAGTGGGAAGGGAGCCCACGCACCAGCCACGCTGAGAGTCCGCAGCCTGAAGTCCATCCCGTAGAGGATGATGAAGCACATGGTGAAGTCGAGCTTGCGAGCATCCTCGGGGTAGCGCTCGAAGTCCCGTGAGTTCTTCCCCAGGCGGATCTCCTTGATCTCCCGAATGTCGACTGCAGGGAGAGAGGGACATGGGACTGTCCCCAGCCACCCTGCCACCGTGGACCCATGTGTGGGGCTTGGGGAGGCTGCGGGAGATGGGACTGCCAGGAGACCATGTGTCCTCTGGGGAGCCTTGTCCCCAGGATGGAGTGTCCCCATGGCACTGCCCATGGGTGTGTGATGGTATTGTAGGTGCTGTGGCCACGTGTCCTCTAGGGATATATGTCCCTGCTGCCCTCCAGTGATGTGTTTGCTAGTGTGATGGCATGTCCTTCGGGGAACCATGTCCCCAGAATGGCACTAGCCGTTGGTGCATGATGGCATCATAGGTGCCATGGCCATGCGTCCTCCAGGGATCCGTGTCCCCGGGACAGGGTGTCCCTGCAGCACTGCTGCACTTGCGTGACAGCACCATGGGTGCCATGGCCATGTGCCCTCCAAGGAACCATGTCCCCAGGACAGGGCATCCCTGCAGCACTGCTGCAGCTGTATGACAGCACCGTGTGTGCCATGGCCACATGTCCTTCAGGGAGCCATGTCCCCAGGACGGGGTGTCCCTGCAGCACTGCACCCAGGTATGTGATGGTACCTTACTCCTGTGTGTCCTCCAGGGACTCGTGTCCCCAGGATGTGGCGTCCCCACAGTGCTACCCACCGGTTTTCCTGGCTTTGTGGGTGCCACATGTCCTCCAGGCTCAGCCTGCCCCATCCCAGCCAGCACATCTCCAGCCACCTTTCCCCTGCCTTCTCCTCCCCAAGACAGACCCTGCTCCGGGGCAGGCTGAGCTCATCTTTTAATTGAAGACGTCTGCCCAAAGGTGGCAATTTGGAGCCCCGGCAGCCCGGACCGCAGGGCGTTTCTTTCCTGCCATGCTGCTCTCTCATTATCTCGCTATATAAAGCCCTGCCGGCAGCGGGAGGGCTGGGTTTCCGGACCGCAGTCTTCCTCACTGCTACGCTGCCGGGGGAGATTTCAAACCCCTGGTTTTGCCGAGTGGACAGGTCTCACCAAGAGCAGAAAAATAGTGTGATGATATTAATAATAATACTCAGAGTTGTTCTCGATACCATGAGCACCATCCCTGGGCAGTTTTGCCCTCTGGGCCTGAGGCGCCGGCACCGGAAAAGGTTTTGTGCGGCCGAGGGCGGCCGGACCACTGCGCCGGGGTATTGTCCTGCCGAGGAAATGGGTCATTTCCCGGAGAATTTCCAGCCCGGCCGTGTTTCCGATGTGGCGGTGGGGAAGGGTGCAGGAGTGCCGGTGCCTCAACAGAAATCCTCAGCCTAATCCAAAGGGGATAAATAAAAACCAAGCGCAGGGAGAAATAAGGGATGGGGGAGAAATCGGGCTGATTAAGCAAGAAAAGAGGTGCAGAATAGTTTTTCTTGGCAGAAAAGCTCCGGAAAACACTGGAGGCTTTATCCAGTCTTCCCTCGCTGGATGACCACAAGCCAAATTTCACAGATTGGGGTGGGATTTTAGCATATGTGATACAGGAGTTCTGCACCCCTGCATGTGCTTGGTTTTGGGACTAGATCTTAAGAAATGAAACCCCGTTGCTGTCACTGTGCAGCCCCCATGGCTCGGACCAAACCCACTTTGGTATAAACAGGCAGATATTTGAGGGTAAAAATGGGTTTATAGGTTAAAAACCAGCTGCTCATTCCCAAACCTGCCCATCCACAGGGTGCCGGAGAGGGGTGAGAAGCCGGTGGCTACCAGGGCTCCACCAAGTCACAACGCAGCCATACCCCCGATTCAATAGTGCCAGGATCTGGCCTTGGATCTGACTTCTGGGTGCTGCCAATAATCATAGAATCATTGAATGGTTTGGGTTGAAAGGGACCTTTAAAGATCATCCAGTCCAACCCCCCTGCTGTGGGCAGGGACATCTTCAACTAGATCAGGTTGCTCAGAGCC